GGCAAATACCTTGCACAGAGGCTGGCATGAGTTCTCAGTCAAATGCTGCATGGAACGGACGTATGCTTTGTCCACTTTGATCCAAATTGACATGTTTGGATCACGTTACTTACATTCTGATAGTTTTTCTTGAATTGTTTGTCTATTGTGAGCTGGAGCATTGCAGTCGTGACGCAGGATTGTTTTTGTATTTGAAAAGCTGTTGGCTGTTCTGTGGTTGCAGTATGGGCAGTTTTACATTTCTTAGGTGGGAGTGAGAAGGAGGAAGAAAAAAAAAAGGCCCCACATATTCAGTGTTTGGGTAGGAAACGGTGCTGGTAGCTGCAGCGTTTGTGCAAGTTGAAGGGAGGCCGTGCAGCTGGGTTTGTTTATCAGCCACATTACATTTCAAGTCTTTCCTTCGAGGTGAAGGAGAGAATATAATTGATCGCGTGATAAATGCCTCCGTTATTGGGAGAGTGAAAGACATATACCTTTTGCTGTCACTTGGACTCATTAATTGTAATGTTTATGCGTGTTAATGTTAACAAAAAAGAAAAAAAAACCCTGCTTTGTGTTAGGTCGACGTCATGTGTTTGTCACAATGGGAAGTTAGCTTATCTCGCAGGCAACGGTTACGGACACGCAGAGTTTGTTGAACAGAAAAATTGAATCTGGAGATTGTCGGCTGTGGGGGAGAAAAACTGAAATGTGAGTCATTAATAATGCAGATAAGGGGACAGCAGGATGTTTGTGGAGGGAGATCTTTCTGCAAGTGAAGAGGAGGAGATTCAAGAAGGAAGGAAGTGTATCCGCAGGTGTTGAGGTTGGCTGGTTGATGGTGATGTATGTTCGCCGGAGCAGATGAAGGGGGATCAAGGGGCAGGTCATCACTGGACAGAAACCACAGGCAGACATTATCTGCTGACGTAGCAGTTCAGCTGCTTTAAACAAGGAATCTAATGTTCAATTTCAATAAATATGCAACTTGTATGAGATCTCCTGTGTGAATGAAAGATCAGCTAAAAGTGTCCCTCGTGCGCTATAAAGGACACAGTGGTGTCACACATAGCTAGGGTGCTCAGCTATGTGCTCAGAAAACGTGGATGGTAATGAAGGAGAGCATGTTGTCATTTCAAAGTTGTTGACCAACTTAGTCCTCGTTATCGTCCTCCATGATTCTTTCTTTGGAATCAATGACGTTCAGGTTGAGGAGATGTTATCTGGCCACACAGACTCTGGTCACATTTATAAAGTTCAGATTGAATTTAGAATGATATATCCAAGTGGCCTGGGTTGCATTGGTAAAAATCCAATCTGTGTTGTTCAGGCTGTCAGTAAAAGATCAGATACAGGCAAAAAAAATAATAATCAGACAAACAATGAAGCAATGAACAAAGACCAAGAAACCAGGAGTAATCCTGTGGGAATGAACGGACACTCGGGTGTCTTAGGAAAGTTCCCTGATGGGGCTTGATGGGCTTTAGCTGGGAGCAGCACCTGTCAGCCTCACCCTGGAAAAGGAGAATAATGAGGAAACCAAGAAGTCCACCAGCACACAACTCTGTTGATAGAACGGAATTGGGCAGAGCCCAAACAACTGGTGTGAGCTTGAATGAGACGGATGCTACAGGTTCCTTCTTGCTCAATGGAAAGCTGTTCAAGAGGCCCTTAAAGGAAGATTGCTACTCATCTGCTGGAAATAACAGGATGAAAAAGTTTCATTGAGCATGTAAAAATAAACTTCAGTCAAGTCTGTTTGGAATTATGCCACCGCACTGAGAGTGAACTATATTTCATCCTCTCTTGAGATGCCGTTTCAGTGTGCGCACAAAGACGACAAGCTTGTTAAGGCGTTGGTAATTTACTAAGCCAAAAATATATACTCTCATAACAGCACTGGATCTCCTTTCCTGGTTATATAGGGAATAACATCCACTAAAACCCCTTTCTGGTAATAGAGATTGTAGTTGCAGGTGGATCAAACCTGGGACCAGTCTGTAGCAATGCTAACAGGCAGGTGTCTTTTGCTAATTGTAATTCATAAAAACATCAACCAGGGAGTTTCCCAACTAAATCCAGCAGTGAACTCTTAATTCAACTTCCGCTCCACCAATTCTCTGTACAACATAACCTGTTGAGGGTACTCCACGTAACTGAGTACAGCGTTTAGATACGGCTGAGAAACAGAATCAAAATATGGTTTCTCAGCCATATTACCACGACACCCTTGTGGAAAAAATGTTTAGCAAAAAACATGAGCGTTTTCTAAATTGCCATGTTTCCATTATGCAAATTTAGATTCAGAATTTCAATTTGAAAAGTTTTATGGCTAATGGAAACGGAGATATAGGGTTGTTGTTTTTTTTCGCAGGATTTTCAATTGTCTTGAAAATATCTTTTTACTATTAAAATTTTCTCCCCAAAACAGCTGAAACACAAGTTTTATGGTAATTTCATCTGAGCTTAGAACATGCAGAACATCACCAGAACTGTGCAGCTTTTCTCAGCTGAACTGATGTGTTGTTTTCTTCCTGCCTTATCCAGTTTCAGGTTTCTCTTGTGGTTGTTGTGGGGAGCTGAGCTGAAGGACAATGGTTTTCTAAGGCTCTGTGGAGCCAGAGTGGCTATTTTGATTATTGTGGCCTGACAGCTTTCCATGCAATGAAGTTTGAGATCTCCTGAGTCACACACACATACACACACATTCAATTGATTTTTTAAAATTTATTCCTGATCATTACTGATACACCAGCCCAGTAGGCCGATATGGATGAAGAATGAATGTAATGATCAAGACTGAAATCTTGCGTAATTGTCACAAAAATCGCTTGGAGTCAAATCTGACTTTAAAGGAGCGGTGTTATGTACTTTCCAGATAGGGGTTGGCTTGTCACTGGAGCTATTGAAGATTAAAATATAATCTCAATACAACACATGTTGCAGCAGCACAAACATCTGCAACACTAATGTCAGCATCTACAGTCCACACTTATAAAGAAAGCATTTTTTAAAGGGTTGCTATTTTGTATGACAAGGAACATCGTTTTTTAAAATCAAGTTACTTTTAGTGTTGTAAAAGTAATGTACATATCCAATTTGACTTTTCAAAGTTATGCCTTGAAATTGGACGTCTGTCTCTTTAAGAAGCTCCTACTCTTACTCTTTCCGACACTCCGTCTTGGCACGTGCCATCAAGACAGTACTTCTCCATTCTGCTGCTTACAACTGTTTTTATGAGCATTGGACTGAGAAGTCTCCTACAATGAGCTCAGCAAACGCACAGTTCCACCAGCTGTTTGCCAATTGCTGCTGGCTAGTCTGAAGGAGCTGAGTGGGGGAGCTGTGAAGAAAAGCCAACTCTTGGTAAGATCAAGCGCTAAGTCATGGTTGGCATGGGAGATTGAAGAATTCCTCAAACATGCATGGAAGAATCAAAGCAACACTCCACGTCTGCTTTTTTTTTTTTTTTTTATGAAGGAATATTAAAACCTGACATAAAGCTAAAAAAATCTCTAAAGAAGTTGCTCCAGAAAAGGCGGAAAGGCTTTTTCCCCTCTCTCTCTCTTTTCAACTCCTGTAGTGATGAATTAACTTTTTCATAAGTCTTTCATGACGAAGATGCAACCGTGTCCCTAAACAAAATGGAATGCTTTACATCACACGTTCTGTTCCCATAACTCTACATCAAACAAAGAATTACCAAATTCAGTCTGACACAGGAAGGCTTAGGAGCCAATGAAGCGAGAAATCAACCTTTAAAATTTGGTATGTAGTTTTAGTGTTTTTGCTCGTTTAAATGTTCTCAATGCTTCATTGTTTTCTCAATTAACGCCAAGCTGGTAAAGAATCCGAGACGTAATTTGTCATGAGCAACACTGAAACAACAACTGAAAACAATAAACAAGATTGATGAGACAATTTCGGGGCTGAAAATCACGCACTTATATCCAGGCATGTAGCCCATCAGCCATGATGCAGCAATTATAATTTTTTCCATGACAACCTCGGTCAGAATCTGATCACGGAAAGTTGAGTCAAGTCCAGAAAGAATCAGATTAGGACAGTCTGTTCCTCAATAAACTGATGTCATACGGCCTTATATAGGTTGCCAGTGTTCTAGTAGCTGTAGCATCAGAGAAAAATACACATGCTAAAAGATGTTGATTGTTTTTTCTTTACGTCATCATGAACTCAATATATGTTTTCCCCATTGTGTCGTTTTTCACGATACATCTGAAGATCACTTTTGAGAAGTCAAGTTCTGATGAACATTAATTGCTTAGGCGCTGCTTTTTTCACAGCAGGTGCTTCATCTCTAGAGAATGAGGGCCAATAAAAAATTACTTTTTTCTCTGAATTCTGACCTTATTTTTCAAAATTCTGATTTTTTTTCCCCCTCAAATTTCTGACTTTATTCTTCTGAGAAAGAAATCAGAATTCTTCCTTTCTTTTTTTCTTGTCAGTGGCCCTGATCCTCTGAACATATTTTCACGTACCTTTGAAATAAATTACATCTTTCTCTGTAACGGAAGAGGAAACACATATCTAACTTCTAGTGAAAAGTCAAACTCCTGCTGTAGAACAGACTGAGGGCAAAGAAATTCAGCCCAGGGTCTTAGTTTAATACGAGCCATGAACTAAAGACAGTGCAGTTTCATTTGTGGTATAGAAGCACAGCATTTAATAAACAATCAAAACTAATGCGTTTGTGTATCTGATGATAAAATTTAGAGTAAAAATTAGTCAGCAACAGTTTATTAATCAAGCAGTTTATAAAAAAATATATAAAAAATCTAAGGAACTTCCAAACCCAACAGCTGAGGATACAAAACATTCAACCAGGTTAAAATTCAACTGCAGGTCTGTCAGTAGACACAATTAAATATATTAGAATGGAAACGAATAATTTTTTAGACTTCCTTCAAATGTAAAAAAAAAACAAAAAAAACTGATGTTTTGACCACAATCCTTTGCTCCTAAAAGGTAATCTGAAAGAAAGAGACAAGAACACACTTTACCTCCACCTGGCTCTTTTTTTGCACCCGCTCCTCCTTCATCCTCCTCTTCCTCACTCCTGCTGACATTCTCCTGTTCCTCTTTCACAACTCTGCAGTCCTATCAGTTGTTTGACAGTAACAATGATCAGCTTTATTGCTCTTTTGCACAGAATTTATTGTGTTGAGCCAAAAAACAACATAACAATCAACTTAAGAAAAGCACTAAACACACAGGGATCAATGTTTGGATTTATTTATATATTTGGTCTTTAGCTGTTATTTTTAAAAGCAATGTTGCCTATTAATGAAAAACACAACATATTGTCCTAGTTTGTAAATTCAGATATTGTCTTTCCTGCTTTGAACACAGACTGCCTCCTAAAATGTCTGTTTGTGATAAATTGTGGACATGCAGCCACATGGATTCACTTTAATTGGTCAAGCAGATTAATTACTTACACATCTGCGGTCTCACGCGGCTGCTCGGCCGCCTTTAACGTCCTGTGCGCCCTGAACACACACTAACACTCTTCACGCCAAGCCTGAGACGGGATGCTGCAGCCTGACAGCCTATTGCGGAACTGCTGATTGGTCGTCATTACCGACCGTCACGGAAAATATCTACTAATTCTGCACATTTGCTGCGTCCCGCACTAACTTTTTCTTTCTAGGCTTTCCAGCTCCACTCCCCTCTTTCTTCTTTCGCTGTGGTATGTTGGCTAATTTTACACACTCCTCTTTATTCCTCCCTTTGACGCTTTGGGTGGCCACTCACATTTCCCTTTAGTACAGGAGACACTGGACTGAGCCCATGAATTTTAATAATGATGAAGAAAAGTTACTAAAGTAAATGTTACCAGTACTGCCCACGTTTGAACACAGATAACAACAAAATCAGTAGTCTGTCGATGTTAACAAGCTCAAGGTGATATATTGGTCATCTTGTAGCTAACATTAGCTGCTTTACTCAACTCGCTCTGTTAGCTTGTGTAACCGGATCCGATCTGCGTTGTGCTGGTTTTAAATGATCAGGCCGTGGTTCACCTTTAAAAGGGTTTATTCTGACAAGAATAACAAATAGGAAATAGCCGTATTACAGGCTGCCCGCTCCAAGCCCTCTCCCACAGGACAACATGACAAAAGGGGCGGTCTTAGCTCACAACATGTTAAATATGCAAAATAAACCTTTCTATACAACATACCTGACAAGAATAACAAATAGGAAATAGCCGTGTTACAGGCTGCCCGCTCCAAGCCCTACATAAACAAAAGTACATAACAGAAATTAACTTAATAAATCTATAAATAAAATGGATGTATTTAGATACAAAATAAATAATACACACCTCTCCCACAGGACAACATGACAAAAGGGGAGGGTCTAAGGGACGCAAACATTTTAAAGGCAATACCACAGAGGAAGAAACAAAAGGGGAGGGGCTTCCGTTCTTAAAGTAACACAGTTAAAACAATAACAGAGATTTTCAGTCAGGTAGGAACCCATACAAATAACCAAAGAAAAACATTTTGAGTAATTATAACAACATATAAATTCAACCAGGTTACACTTGCGGGGGAAACTGAGCTAACAGTTCTTTGCCGTGTTTCGAACGCTCACCCAGGCGTAAACACAGCGCGAGCGTCTCGGCCCTCATGTTGCGTTTAAATGCGGCTCGGAAAACACGCTACAAGACGTTAACAACGGATTAATCAAAAACGCGGGAGGCAGAGGGCACAGACATGGAAAATGCGAAAATAGAACTAACAGGAAGTGGGCCAAAATGAAAGAAATGCCAGTCCGGGGGGCGACGGGTCTGGTTTTTATGTATGGGTTTAAAATAAATAATAAAAAAATAAAAGACAAGAAGAAGAAAAAAAAAACTGTTCGAACATCGCGATAGCCGACCAGACCCCATGGTGGACCAATGCCGCTTCTTTGGGAAACTGTCGCTCCCAGGGGCCCAACAGTGTAAATATTTAGTCTCTCTATTGTTCGCCATAAGCTTTTAAGGCACCGAGGTTTAGAGGCTGAATGTTGTAGTGACATGCACGCTCCGATACTCATCTGCTTTTGCTTGCAAAATGCATTTTTCTCCCACTTCGCGTTCCTCCTGTTTATTTGGCTCCGCGGGTCTTTTGGCTGAACGCTGTCCCGGTGGGAGAGCCTCTCATCCAGATAGGACGCTTCCTCTTGCAGCCGAGCGAAGCCAGGTTCTTGTCTGAAGGGGGGAAAAGAAGAAGAAGAAGAAGAAGAAGAAGAAAAAAAAAACTTTTTTTTCTTTTTCTTTGCTTTAGCAACCAGATGCACAAACAGTTGTTTAGTGCCATCAGCCCATTAGGCGGTGTGTGTGTAGCGTTTCCAAAAACACAAGCATCCTTGTTAAAACATCAGTTATTCAGATATGTTAACTGATGACTTGCTCCTCTCTTTCTTTGTTGTTGTTGTTTGTTCTTTTTTTATCGCACCATCACGTCGGTATGCGGATTTTATTTTTTTTTTCTTTTACATTTTATTTACTTATTTATTTAGCTCAGAGCTCAAAGTAATTTTCTGTTTAGCTGATGAGCGTCGCCAGGTTGTGTTTTTGATTCGGATGTGATTACAGCTTGTGGGTGATTTACGGCGGTTCCTCTGACATTTACGCGCTTCGCTCCAACCCGCGCACTCAGCAGCGCGTTGCAGCGCCACCTGTCACCTTCCTTACGCATTCCGCGTCTCGCTCCACAGGAGCTTCTGCTGGCTGAGGTTCACGATGTGTGTGTGCGTGTGTGTATGCGTGTGTGTGTGTGTGTGTGTGGGTGGGTGTGCGTGTGTGTGTGTGTGTGTGTGTGTGTGTGTGTGTGTGTGGTGTGTGTGTGGTGTGTGTGTGTGTGTGTGTGTGTGTGTGTGTGTGTGTGTGTGTGTGTGTGTGTGTGTGTGTGTGTGTGTTTATGTGGGGAGAAGGAAAAGGAGAATAGGGTGAAAACACATTTATCTGATGAACAAGCTGAAGCTGCTGCTGCGGTAAACGGAGAAACGTACCGTCATTCAGGAACACCTGGAATTGCAAAGTGGGCTCTTCTCTAACTGGAGGATCTTCACACTACAGGGTTTTTGTCGCAGCGTGGGGACAGACTGACATGGTCTCTCTGGGGCCCCTCGGTAAAATTGTCTTCCGTCAGCAGTTTTATTTGGGTGATTACAACAAAAAAGAAGCACTTAGATGTGAGTTGCTCGCAAAGAGTTTTACTGCCTCTTGTTGGGAAGTGTGTTAGATGTGACTAAGAACGTAGAAGCCAGAGGAACAGCACATATCGTTGGACCGTGTCGGCGAGGCTTGACTTGAAAGTTCTTTAAAGTATTAGATTAAATCCGCGTTTTTTTTTTTTTTAGCTTTACGTATTCTCTCATAAAAGGAAAAAAAAAACACATAACTGGAGCGTTTGCTTTGTTTCTTTTATGTTCGAGTAATCCTTTCCTGGCAACCATTCAGCCGAGCAACGCTCCTCCAGGCCGAGCTTTCACATTGCAGAGCAGCCCGGCCCTGCGACTGCCACGCTCAGCTCCTGCAAACTAGCAGCAGCGGCTGACAATTTGCACAGCGTGTCTTCTGTGAAACGGTGAGCTCTCCTCAAAATTAGGCGCCGGATGTAAATGAGATCTCGGATCTTATACAACGAGGCAACCTGCGTGAATGAAGGTCAACTGAAGAAGATTGCAGACTCACTGTGCGTCACTCCCTGAAACGCAGCAGATGAAAACACGTAGATGAAAAGATCAAACTGCAGGTTAAGTCATCTGCAGCTGCTTTAAGGAGTATTCACACGACTTGAGCTTACCAGGTTCATCGAGGCACACCACAGTTTTCTGATTTTTATTTGCATAAAATGTAGAAAATCGTGTGTCTGCCATACACGAAGTTGGACCCAGTAGCAGAGAACAGCTCAGAGAAAGACGTGTCGATACCAGGAGAGAGAAAGAGAGAGAGAGCAGCAGACCAGGCTGATTAACAGGCTGCAGGTATGAAGAGAGAGAGAGAGCCTGACACATGGGGGCGAGCGAACACAGAGATCAAATCCAACGAGGACAAAGAGCTAAAAAGAGTCGAACTAAAATGACTAAAACAGGCTGAACTAAAGTGGAACAGACACAAGGTTGATCTGATCAAAATAAACACCAAAGACAAACAGACAAGAAATAATCACAACCATGAACACAAAACAGACCCAGATTCTGACAGCGACATCGTCACAGTCACTGGTGTTGGTCTGGGATACAAAACCCAGTCAGATGTTTCTGATTGTAATGAGAGGAAATGTCAGGATTCTTCCATCCATCCAACCATCCATCCAACCAACCATCCATCCAACCACCATCCATCCATCCAACCATCCATCCAACCAACCATCCATCCATCCAACCATCCATCCATCCAACCACCATCCATCCAACCATCCATCCACCAACCACCAACCAACCACCCAACCATCCATCCAACCAACCATCCATCCATCCAACCAACCATCCAACCACCATCCATCCACCACCATCCATCCAACCAACCAACCACCATCCAACCACCACATCCAACCAACCAACCAACCACCAACAAACCATCCAATCCAACCAACCACCAACCACCAACCATCCATCCAAAACCAACCATCCTCCAAACCAACCATCCATCCAACCATCCAATCAACCAATCCATCCAACAACCATCCATCATCCAACAACCATCCATCATCCACCAACCATCCATCCACCAACCACCATCCACCCACCCATCCATCAACCAACCATCCATCCATCCATCCAACCAACCATCCATCCAACCAACCATCCATCCAACCATCCATCCAACCAACCATCCATCCATCCAACCATCCATCCATCCAACCATCCATCCAACCAACCATCCATCCATCCAATCATCCATCCAACCATCCAACCAACCATCCAACCAACCATCCATCCATCCATCCATCCATCCATCACTCCATCCAACCATCCATCCATCCAGCCAGCCAGCCAGCCAGCCAGCCTTTTGTCTGCAGACTTTAAGTAAGAGCTGAAAAAACAAGTGATGAGAACTTTAAGGTTCAAAGGTGACACGAGGCTGACCCCTGAACGCATCATCACCACGGCGAGACAAGAAGGCAGCAGCATCATGGAGAGTGTTCAGAATAATAACTGAGTGAACAAAATTGCTACCAGACAACTGGGATAGCACAGCCTCCCTTTCATGAGATTTTTATTTGTGGTGTTAGACTCTGGGCGGAGGTTTGGGTTCCTGGGATTAAAAGCAACAGATGATTGACCTCCACAGGAATCAGGTCCCTGAATTTGTGAGTTATGATTTCTTTCTCTCTCTTTGTCTATTTTTACATGGTCTCTGTACTTTTATGTCGTTTCATTCGTTTTGAAATTTCTCTAAACTGTCTGGCCAGACAGGCCTGAAGTCATGCATTGGAGTGGCGTAGTCAAAGTCCAGTCCAGAGCCAAATCCAATTGCAAATCGACAGTAGGACCTAAAACCTGCTGTTGGGTCGCTCTCCTTCCAGTCTGTCTGGGCTCGAACAATCTAACAGAAACGGGAACAGTTTCTGTTTAGATCCTGCAAAAGACTCGCAGCTGTAATTGCGACAAGAAGAGGTCTGTGAAATCAATAAGTAGTCTGATTTGTAAAACCTTCAAAACCACCTATGTGTTTCCTCCCTCTAAGCATCAACGGAACCGAACATGGAAGCGCGCAGCAGGACTGCAGGGGGGGAGTGTAAGGTGGGCAAAAGGCTCCTGCGGTGTTTTACTCTGGAGGTAATTAAAACCTTTGACTGACAGCAGAGAAGCAAAAGGCGCAGACGCGCTGTGATTGGTTGGAGGAAGCGCTTTACAATCCCCTCTTGTTTCCACCCTCAGCGCGCACTGGGGATTCGGCTCGTCCAACTTTCGCGGAGGCCGGTCGGACGCAGACGCACAGAGCTGCAGACGCACAGAGCGGCAGAGCGAAGTTGGAGAGCCTTCCTCCGCACTCGCCTCCCGAGTCTCCTGATAAAGTGAACGCCGCGCGTCGGGCTCGAAAAACAACAACAAACATGAGGTCCGTTTCTGCTCTCTGGAGAACGATCGGGACGGTCGTGACGGTGGCGTTCATGTCGGCGTGCGGAGCATCGGAGTACGAGTACCTGAGTTGGAAGACGGAGATCGCGGGGCCCATCTACGGTAAGACCCCCCAGTGCGTGGGGATCCCGGAGGACCTGCGGCTCTGCCACGGCGTGGGCTACCCCGAGATGCTGCTGCCCAACCTGCTGGAGCACGAAACCATGGCGGAGGTGAAGCAGCAGGCCAGCAGCTGGGTGCCACTGGTGCACAAGAGGTGCCACCCGGGCACGCAGGTCTTCCTCTGCTCGCTCTTCGCTCCAGTGTGCCTGGATCGCCCCATCTACCCGTGCCGGAGGCTGTGCGAGGCGGTGCGGGACGGCTGCACCCCGATCATGGAGGCGTTCGGCTACCCGTGGCCGGAGATGCTCACCTGCGACAAGTTTCCAGAACATGACGTGTGCATTTCCATGACGCCCAACGTCACCGAGACCCCCGAGACCACCGGTAACGACACCCCATTAATAATCATAATCATTTAGTTAATTAATTAAAAAGCAAATTACGACTGATAGTTTTGATTTAATATCATTGGCTTCCTAAAATTAATGTCCTTTTTATTATTTTTTTGCCTAAATCATTTTTTTACTAAAAGGTGACGACATGAAAGGTTAGTTCTTCACCTCGGTTCTGACTGAAGATGATGACTAAGTTTAACATATTTATCATGATTCAATGAATTATTTATACGAGTTCCAAAAAAGCGACAAAGAAAAAAACCCAGTTAACCATTTCCCTCATTTCTGTTATTACAAGACAATGAAAAAAAACAAAAGCCAGATATGATGCTGACAAAGAGGATTATTTTCAAGTTGAATTCTTGGCATGTATTGTTAGTTGAAGGAGGTTCAGTATTATGTGGTATTTGCAAATTAATCAACACTTTTGATAAAAATAGATTTCTGCTGTAAAAGAGGACAAATGAAAAACATTTCAACTCCTACAAATTGGGAGAAGTTAGAGTTTTGCATCATTTACCTGAACATTCATCAACATCATCCCTCAGTCTGTAAAGGTCTCAAAGAAATGATATAGAGCATTAATATAATATCTGCTGCTATGACAACAAATAAAGA